GTGTCAGAGCATCAGCAGCCTGAAGATGCACTCTGTGGTTTGAGGGTCTTTAGGAGGACAAGGGAGCCTTTTCCTTCCAAGGCATCCTTCATCAAGAATTTTTGATGGCTGAAGGAGCATACGTTGATGGCTCAGCCTGCTCCTGGGTGGATGAGTGTTCTCATTGCCATTAACAGTACAATAACCGACACTTTCTGTCCCCTTGCCTCCACCCCACAAAAGTGGCACAGTTCCTGGGATGGCCCCTGGAGCTGGCAGGCACCCCATGTGCCAGCACTGAGCACATAAGGAAGCTGACGTGCCCCTTTCAGCCCTGCTTGCCACCTGCCTTCCTCCACCCAGCCTCCTAAGGGAAGAACAGGTCCCTTTGAGCATGGGGCAGCTGAATTCTCAAGGGCGAGCACCTCCATCGACTGTGGTACTGAACCCCCTCCCATGGAGAGGGCCTTTGCATCTCCACATATGTTTACAGCAAGCATCTATGTTGCCTGCCTACTCTTGTAGCCATAGCTGGGTAAATACTGAGTTGCTTGTGTGGTGGACAAGGGCTCTTTATAATGTGAACCTGCAGGATTGTCCTCCCCGACATCTGATGTTGGCTCTTGCTGGAGGAGTTGAGATCCTATCGCTTCAGGGGTGAGGGGAACAAAGGAACTGCAGCGATTTCCGATGGGTTTTATACATTATAGAGCATTTATAAGAACATCTGCCTCTCCCCTTGGCAGTCCATTGCTGTCAAGGCCCCAGGAGCTGCAGGATGTTTGCCAGCTATGCATGTCCCAACCTCCCTCCCGGTCTCAAAAGGAAAACTCTGGTGGTGATGTTTGAATCCATCTCCTTTTCTTCTCCCTCCATGAGCTTTTTGATGTGTGGCCGAGGGGTGACAACATGTCCTCTCTCTCCCTCTCCTCGCCTCCATGGTGCTGGGTGGGCAAAGCAATGCCCACAGAACGGCTCCAGTGATTACGTGGCTGAGAGTGGCTAGTGACTGGTGCCAGCACTTCCCAAATGAAGAAGTGCTGGGACACACTGTGCCATTTGGGTTTTCTGCCCCTTTTGCCTCCCCTCTGCAGTTTGATTTCTCCGCAGGGGTTCTGTGTAGCTGTAGGCACAGCAGGAGGTCTCTGAGCTGGTCCAGCAGTGCCACCGTCACCTGCTGGCTGTTGGTGCCACATCGAAATCACCAATAAGCAAGTGTCCATACATAAAGCCATCTCTTTGTGTGCCATTGTGGCTTGTGCATTGCCCTCTTGGAGCCCTTACATCCCAAGCAAGAGGGCATCTCAGTTCATCTGTAGCTCTCCACGTGGAAAGCAAATATGTCAATCCAAATGCAGCCTAAATAAAAAGCCCAATATAAAACTGTAAATCTCCAAAGAGTTCAAATTAAATTAGCTGTAATAACCAGAACCATAACTAAAGACCCTGCTTGCTTTTGCCTCCCGTGGCACCCTCTGAGGAGGCATTGCGCAGAGGAGTGGCGCTCACTGTCGGGTTTGCAGAGCGGCTGAGAGGCGGTGATGTCTACGCCTGTGGGCTTGCAGCAGCAGGAAAGGCTGAGCAGTGGAAAGCTTGGTCAAAAGGTTGGGTGGTCAATGCATAGCCTTTGTCGTCTTATCTGGTGGGCAAGGGAAGGATTTTCTCCACCCAGAGGTACCCAGCTGAGGTGCCTCTTTCTTTGGTAGAGCAGCATCAACTCGTGCCTGTTGGCACTAGTGTCTGGAAGCAAGAGGGACCCCTATGCACTGCAAAATAACCTGGTGAGGCTGGTCAGGACAGAGGTCTGATATCCCGTCACAGAAGTGCTGCAGAGTTGAACTATCACCTTTTCAACACGCCTTCCACCTGTTTCGCTAAATGCAGCCAGGGTCTGGTGTAATTTTTATGGGTTTTAAGAAATGTCTTACTTCGTAGGCTTTGCCCCCCAGGCCGAGACCTCTGCATGCATGTGGCAGGGACTCAGCTCAAGCAGTGATAGAGGTTTGGTTACAACTAGGGACCTTGTAGATGACCTTGGCTTGTCCGAGCGGGTGTCCTGCTGGGCTGCAGGACATCCCATGCTGCAGCTCAGGGTCTTAATCAGTGGATTTCTTGATGGAGGCAGTTTGGCAGAGTTAACCTGTTTGGATGGGACCTATTCAGGCCTTGCAGGTAGGTTCCCTCAGAGGCACCTGCCTTTGGCTGGTTGGAGCTGAGCCTTGAGGTCCCTCCCCAGCTCCTGGCTGAGGATGACCATGTACCAATCTGCTGTTGCCCACCATCCTGCTCTCCATGGGTTCCTCTTGCAGCAGAGGTTTCACTACATGCCCCCCTCCTAAAACCTCCAGCAGGGAGGGCAGGGGCTCCCAGCTCTCTGGGTGAGTCCCTCCCTGGAGATAAGCCCTGTCCTGGTAGACGCAACATGGTCTACTCATTGTGCCTTTCAGCCCAGGCGTGGGACAGCGGAGGGCTGCTGCAGGGTCCCTTCACCCAAGGGGCTGTGGTCCCTGCACCCAGGCTGCGGTTGTCCCCGTGCAGCTCCCCTGATGCTTTGCTTACCTTCTTCCTCTCTTCTCTCTTTTTCCCTCTCTCCATTGGTGCTGTTTGGTGGCTGCTGGGCTGGATCGCCAACAGGAATGCTTTGGGGTAACTATGCCATTTGGGTTGCTGCGGGCTGCCGCCCTGGGGAGTGTGGGGGAACAGGCGCGGGCGGATGTCGGTCTGTCCAACACCTGTGCTGACCTTTAGCTGTGTTTGCAGAGGCTGGAGTACTCTGCTCTGCACGCATCCCTGCATTGCCCTGGAATGCATTCAATGCGGTGTGCTCCGGGAAAGTGCAGGCGGGATTTTGTTTGCAAGCAATGCAATTCCTTGCCTTCGGAGGAGGATGATTTCATTGCAGATTTCAGTGTCTATGCAGTACCCAGAGACAGTGCGAAGCACACCCTGGGGAGCAGGGTATGGGGAAAGCAGTGTCCGCTGCAAAGCTGGAGGCTCTGCCCTGGGAGGGGCTTTGCCTGTGCTGAAGCACTGCAGGGACTTCAGCCCTGATGCCCTCTGAGCAAGCTCAGGAGGCTGGGGAGAGCTCAGTCTCAGATGCAGACATAGCAAGGCCGAGCTTTCCTCCTGGTGTTATCCAGACCTATAGCCATATCTGTGTAGATCCCAAGCAAATCCATAGGAGGATGTTTCTTGAGGCCTGAAGAGGTCCCTCGTCAGTAGGCGTAAACCATTGCAGTTGAGTCATCCTTGGTGGCAGCTTGCACCAGCTGAGCGCTGCTCTCAAATCCTCACCCCAGCCCTGAGTCAGGTATCCCAGCCCCAAGTGGGATCACAGAATCACAGAATGTGAGGGGTTGGAAGGGACCTTGAAAGATCATCTAGTCCAACCCCCCCTGCCAGAGCAGGAGCACCTAGAGTAGATGTTATGCTTACCCAGGCCCTGACGCTGAGCAAAGCAGCAGACAGGAGGTGCAAATGAGTCCTGGGACTGTTTGTACATTTACTTCCCATACATTTGTAGGGCTGTGCTCCTAGGGAGGACTATTAATTTGTGGGTTTGTTTACATTCTTTTAATGATTAAGCCCATTATTGTGTTCCCTGTTGCATTAACCCTCGCAAAGGAGCTGTGTAATTTGAAGTGTCTGTTGTTGTAAGTAATTTCCTTGACCTTTTTTGAGGGTGCCTGGTAGATACAAACTGTGCCACCTTCACTAGGACCTCTCTGCTCCATCCTAGGATCCAGCCCATGGGCTTTAGTTAAAAGACTAGAAAAAACCTCAGCATATTGTTGTTTGGATTAGTCACTATATTCGAGAAATGAGGGTCACAAGGGGTCTTAGTGCTTCTTTTCTAAATAATTCTAACAGTAAGTTCTGCCACCGTCAGCTGACTTGGGGTGGGGGCAAATGCAGTCCTGATCTGGAGAGGGAAGAGAGGGCTGAGATGTTGTGAGATGGAAGACAAGGCCTACCAAGTTGGGTAGCATTGATGGGATAAGGCAGAAAGCCGTAAGAGACAGCATTTGTACAAAGATACCAAGCACAGAGCAGGTGCTTACCTAGGTGAATGTAAGGACCATGAATCTTGAGTTTAAACCAAGATGGAAGACCCTTGGTGAGAGACCTGCATGTAGACCCCAATAAGTGCATCTCCCTCATTTTATTATGAATTTCTAGCAACCAGTAGTAACGGCAGAAAACAATTTTGCAAGCTCTATGTGCAAATCACACATGACTACAGTAGGGAAGCAAACCTCCTGGCCCTGACAAGCAGAGTGGCTTGGGGACATGGGGGAGGGCAGTGTGCCACAGCACCCTTCGGGCAGCTGCCCTTGCTCCGGGACAGCATTGCATCACCTGATCCAGCCCTGGCATGTCACTGCTTCCCCCAAAATGAGGAGATTCATTAAGGTTGCTGCTCCCCAGCAAAGGGGAAAGGTGCCAATCCTGAGGAGGAGAGGATTGCTTATTTTTCAACTCAGCCAGCTGTCAGCGCGTGTGTTGGAGGAGACTCATTTGGGTGGGCTGAGTGCTCAGCAGTCACACATTTGTGAGTGCTGGCCCCCATGATGGCATGTGGCCCTCCCATTCCCGTCCTCATGCATGCTGGGGGTGGGATTTGTCAGCTATTGAAACCCCCCTGAGCATCCAGCCCTGGGTCTGCAAGGTTTTTGTCTTTCTGTCGTTTTTGGGTGCGTGTGCCTCCTTCCGACATGGTAGGACCAACAAGGGCCGGGATATCAAGACCATCAAGTCTCTCCGTGTGCTACGGGTCTTGAGACCCCTGAAAACCATCAAGCGGCTGCCTAAGCTGAAGGTAATGAACCCCATCTCCTGCCTTACATCTGTCTTCTCCAGTGTGGAGCAGTGGGTGCAGGGACAGCGTACATCAATTTGCTTGTGAGCGATGAACAAGTAGTTTTCAAAGCATTTGCTATGTTTTAGGAGCCCCATTTTCAAACACAACACCCTTCAGGCTGCTTCATATCTGGAGGTGCAATGGGTTATTAAGAGCAAGCCTGGATCTCTGCAAGGCACTAGAGTTAGTTCCTCTGCCAGGGAAAGTGGGGCTGGAGTGGACAGAAGGCAGCAAAGCCCAGATGCTCTCCTCATAAAATAGGCTGCCCTGGCTTTGGGAGAGCTAAAATCTCCTCCTAAAATTAATTATTTTTCCCATCAGAGCAGCTTGCAAACAATTTGGGATTTTGTGTGCTGTGCTGTCATGGTGTTGCACTGGAGGGGGTTTTCCCATCTGAATAGAGGAATTATTTATGCAGTACAGGTCAGATTATGGATTTCCTCACCTTAGCTGATGTGGTATAGAGCCAGAAACGAGTAAGAGACCAAGGAAGCCCTGAGGTTTTTTCATAAGGTGTTATTTGGCTGATGAATGAGGCCCAGTGTGGCACCCCAGAGATACGAGTTTTGACCCCAGCTGTTCTTCCCAATCAGTGGATGGTTTCAGCCCATGTCAGTTAATTTCTGGACACCTCTGTCTTCACCATTCCTCTCTTTTGTAAAGTGCTATGAGAACTAGGGCTGAAAGCACGACCTGGGGAGGTGCTGCTATGGCAGGCAGAGGTACTTGCTCTGCCTTGTTATTTGAGGTCATGTGAAAAAAAGAAGTGCTTACTAACTAGTCTTGAGTGCTGCTAATTGCATCGTCAGGGTCGTCCCCTGTCTGCTGCCCTGGTTGCAGAGAACATTGGAGGATATAAATAACCATCCCTGCTGCTGTCTCAGGGGCTGCTTGGTGTCCGTGTGTGTGCTGGGGGTTACTCTAGGTGTAAAACTCACTCATAAGACAGGCTTTTGCCTGGGAGGAGGTCCAGCTCTTTCCTCCTTTCCACCCCAAGGCTGGAAAATGACTACCACCCCATGGTAGTCTTGAGGAAAGTTTTGGACCTGCCCTTTGCCAAGGCGGTCGATTCCCCAAGGTGAGTTATACCCTTTCCTGCAGGCCGTCTTTGACTGCGTGGTGACTTCCCTCAAGAACGTTTTCAACATCCTCATTGTCTACAAGCTCTTCATGTTCATCTTTGCTGTCATTGCCGTCCAGCTTTTCAAGGGGAAGTTTTTCTACTGCACTGACAGCTCTAAGGACACGGAGAAGGATTGCATGTAGGTGCCCTGTTCAGTAGGTCTGGTGCTGCAGACACCTCTGGCAAAGGCAGGATGCTGGGTAATGTCATCTTTGGGTTCCCAGTTAAGTTCTTGGTCATGACTTGCTCTTGGCCGTAGTCTCTTGGGGTAGATGGCATGGGCTGAGCACTGTCCCCATTGCTGTGTCAGAGCTGTGCATCCACAGGATGCAGAGCCCTGTATTTCACTCCTGTTCTTTTTCCTCCTTTTGCTTCCCCCCTTCTCTCCTTCCCCCCAGTTGCTATCTAGCCTCTCCCCATTTCTTCCTCCAGCCTTGCAGGAGGAGAGGTGCCCCCCCGCCACTGCACATATACGCTGCTCCCAGGGTTTAAAACCACTGTCTCATAGCCTGACAGCATAAAAAAGCGAGGTCACTGCTCTTTCCCAACCTTGCAGAGGGAACTATGTGGACCACGAGAAGAACAAGATGGAAGTGAAGTGCCGGGAATGGAAACGCCATGAGTTTCACTACGACAATATCATCTGGGCTTTGCTCACCCTGTTCACAGTCTCCACCGGCGAGGGTTGGCCCCAGTGAGTATTTTGCTCCATCCACCCCCCTTGAATTAGCATGGGCATGTCTCCATTGGGGTGGTTGGGTAGATAACTGGCTACAGCCAGGTGGGACTGAGAGAGAGACTGCTGGACAGGGACGAGGAGAGGAAGGATGAGAAATTATGTCAGGACAATAGAGTTTTAGCTCCCATATGAGGCTGGGACCGTGGCTGGGGTTAGCTTCTTCCTTAAGGAGTGAATGATGGATAATCCCTTCTCCTGTGTGGCTCTGAGGTATATCTTAGCTCAGCTTTAGAGATGATCATAGGACTAGCCCTTTCTTCATGCTCATGTGAGCTTGGGCAATTTTTTTCACTGTATGTGGAGCACTGGAAAATCCATTTTCCATCAGGGGCATAGGCAAAGCAACCTAAAACAAGCTGTAGCCACTTAGAAGGTTGTCCTTGTAAAGCAGGTTAAGACAGAGATTTGTCTTATCATTGTTACAACTGTGGACAGAGCTGGCTGAACAAAGTGGGTCCCATGAGAAGTGCTGTGTGGTGGCAGTCTGATGGGCATATCTCTCGTTGCTTTTCTTCACCTGTCTGTCCACAGGGTGCTGCAGCATTCAGTGGACGTGACGGAGGAGGACCGTGGGCCCAGCCGCAGCAACCGCATGGAGATGTCCATTTTTTATGTTGTCTATTTTGTGGTCTTTCCTTTCTTCTTTGTCAACATTTTCGTGGCTCTCATCATCATTACGTTCCAAGAGCAAGGAGACAAAATGATGGAGGAGTGCAGTCTGGAGAAGAATGAGGTACAGTGTGGGGAGGGGGAAAGAGGATGTTTCCATGGGTTTTCTGCAGTTTGGGAGCTGTAAGAAACCCATGAGCCACCTGCTTGCTCAGCCCGTGAAGGAAAGAAATGTGACAGCCACCGTCCCCCACATTATCATCAGCCAGGGTTTAATGCATGTTGTTTTATTCCAGAGGGCCTGTATTGACTTTGCCATCAGTGCCAAGCCCCTCACGCGGTACATGCCACAGAACCGGCACACCTTCCAGTACCGCGTCTGGCACTTTGTGGTCTCCCCATCCTTCGAGTACACCATAATGGCCATGATAGCATTGAACACCGTGGTGCTGATGATGAAGGTGAGCTTGTCAGAGTGAGCCTGTCCTGTTTGGGGTAGTGGGCAGAAGGAGGATTGTTCAGGATGGGGCCGAAGATATTTTGGTTGTTTCTAGGAGATGCTTTGAGACAGAGTCTGAGCATGTGTTCCCTTGGCAAAGTCTTTTAAAACATCACATACCCCAAACTAGAGGTGAGATCTTCCCTAAATGAGATAACCCAAATGATCTGGACCTCTTAACTACTGCAGGAAGATCTGAATTACTCTGTGCTTCCTTCTCAGAAGGCATGGCAGCTGCCTTGGGAGAGGGGTGGAGAGAGGAAGGATGAGATAGTCTTGAGGCACCCAGGGCAAGGAACATGGACCTGCTGTGTCAGGTCTTCCCTGGGACAGTCATCAGTCAAAACGCTGGCAGGCCCCCTCCTGGCTAGCAATGTCTCTCTCTTTCTGTCAGTACTACTCTGCTCCGTACACCTACGAGCTGGCCCTGAAGTACCTGAACATTGCGTTCACTATGGTGTTCTCCTTGGAGTGCGTCCTCAAGATCATTGCTTTCGGCTTCCTGGTGAGTGGCTGCTCCTGTTCTTGGTGAGGGTGTTAATTTGGACTTTCACAGCACATAGATGACAGAGGGAAGGTGTTAATAATGTGAGATTGTTGCTATTTATTTTGAGTCCCAGCCTGAGAGCTCCTTTTAGGTTGGTATCACTCCTTTGATTCTCATTAAATTTCCCACTGCTGGATGCTGGTGGGGGAAGCCACACTGTTGCTTTACTTTTTTGCCCCGTTTCTGAGGTACTCTGATGCCTGGACCATGTGTGTGCTGTGCAGTTGCTCTGCTAAAGCCAGCTGCTGCTGCAGTCATGCCAATGGCTGGAGTCCTTGCCACAAGACACTGTTGCATTGCTGCCCTTGGGCTGTATTAGTTGGACCAGACCTGACCAGCAGTGAGACCTCCCTGCCTAATTCACAGTCCTCAAGTCCCCAGCTGCTCATTCAAATTTTGAAGCCACAGTCTGCCTTTTCTTCTGCTACTCTTTGCTGCTTATGAGCAACTGTTGGATTTGCTCTTTTATAGTTTCTTTCCTGTTTCTAACCCATGCTGGGAGATGAGGTCCACTAGCAGGAGGATTTCTAGCCACCCTCCCTGCCCTCAGTGGCATCAGCCATGGTCAAGTCCGGTCTTGCACCAGCTGCTGCACAAACAGCAGGAGCTGAGGTTGGTCCGGGTGCCCATGAAGAGGAGGGCAAAGCAGCCTCATGGCTGTGAGGGTCAGCATGATAAGCTCTTGCAGCCTGACCAGGGCTGGCTGTGGCCGCTTTTCCCACTCCCGTTTACCAGGGTGGCCTGTCGGATGTGTGAGTCATCTCCCAGGAGAAGCTGCTCACTGCAGACACACTCAGGTCTGTCACTGTCTCAGACACAGGATGGTGCTCCAGACCATGGCCGCATACAAATGGGCAGTGAGGTCTCTGCTGCCACTGTTGCCTGTGAGCAGCTTTGGCCTGTTGCCCAGCATCCTTCCGACCTGCCATCCCTGAGCTCAAATCCGTGTTCCCTCTCTCCTTCCTTTTGCAGAATTATTTCCGGGACACTTGGAATATCTTTGACTTCATCACTGTCATTGGAAGCATTACAGAGATCATCCTGACGGATACCAAGGTGAAGCAGGGGCTGGGAGCAGTGGGGCATACTGCTGTGGGGTGGGGGGCTTCTGCCTCCCTCTGACCCTCTCATCTCCTCCCAGCTGGTGAACACCAGCAGCTTCAACATGAGCTTCCTGAAGCTTTTCCGCGCTGCTCGGCTCATCAAGCTGCTGCGCCAGGGTTATACCATCCGCATCCTGCTCTGGACGTTCGTGCAGTCCTTCAAGGTAAGTCACATGTGCCCTGGTCTTCTCCCAGGTCATGGTGCTGCTCCCAAATGCAGGCTGTTCCCAAGCTCTTGCTGACTTGTTGGCTTGTGGGAGAAATGGATCGGCACAACTTACCTGCTCACTGTGTTTTTTTTACTCCTCTGGAGCTGGATCTGTGCTAAATGGGATGACTCATCCACTTCTCTTTCAGGCCCTCCCCTATGTCTGCCTCTTGATCGCCATGCTTTTCTTCATCTACGCGATCATTGGGATGCAGGTGAGCACAGACGTCTCAGTGCGCATCCCTCTGGCGCGGACAGGCTGGACCAGTGTGTCCTCAGTATTATGCACAGCAGCCAGCCTTGTGCCTGCCTGTCATTGCTTCACTCACTCACAGTATCTGGGAAGGTCCCGAGGGTGGAACAGCTTGTTTAGGAGCTGCAGAGCCACATGCCCTGGGGGAGCTGCCGTAGGCTTTTTCAGTCAAGCTCCACAGCTGCCTTCCCAACTTGTACCCTTGGAGATGTGGCCTTGGGGACTCAGCTGGGCATCTTGTATGGCAGCTGCTTTCAAATCATCACCCCTTTGTTTAGAAAATACACCCTATCTCCAACTGTCCAGCAGCCCCCAGAGATTGATTTAATGCCTGAGGGACCCGGTAAGCAGCCTTCTGCTTTCCCATCCGAATGTCTAGATCACGGCAGTGATCCCTGCAGCCTGCTGTCCACCTTGTCCCTCTGTGGAGGGTTTATGCTGTAGCTGTGCTGCTGGTGGTCTGCTTGGACTCTTGTGCTTAGGGACCTGCGATGACCTACCAGATGGTGGGAGGTCTGCAGAGCATGGGAAGATGTGAGCTTTGCAGGCTCCAGCTGGTAAATAAGAAGCACGTGAGCTAAAACCCTCAGCTCGACAAGTGCTGGGGGACTGGCTCGATTCTGCAGTGACTAAACCCCACGCTAAAGATCTGAGAAAACGTCTTCAACGATGAATGCTCAGGATCTGGAGCTGCCCGATGAGGGAGCTGCCGCAGTACCCAACGCCGTTGCCTGACATGCGCTGCCAGGACAGGCAGATTTTAGGGAGGCGGCGGGCAGCGCAGTGGCCCCTGACTTGGGCTGCTTGGCAGCGCTGGTGTTTAGTCTCTTCCACGTGCTCTCTCCCACCCCAAGAGTCCCGTGGCTGGTTTTGGCCGCTCTGTCCTACGCATCTCGGCACAGGCTCCAGGTGTTCTCAGCACTAAACAACCGTCATCTGACTCAGCCCCCCCCCTCCCTGCCATGTGGTAGTATTTGATTTATTTTATTTTTTTTTTAACACCATTATGAACAAATCCCCAAGCAGTAAAGTCTGTGGGCGTTATTTGAGCAAAATAGCTGGAGGCAGAAAATATTCTACAATTACACATTCCAAAAAAACCTGTACAGGGAAAAAAATACTCTGCAGTTAATGTATTTTTAGATTCACAGAAAGTGGAATAATTTTTTAACAGTAATAACGGCACATTTTTCCTATTTGAGGCACTTTACAAATGTTTGTTATGTCCTACTGTGGCCTTGACTGTGGGTCATTATTAGGGTATTGTCCATGTTTGGGACTTCGTTGCCTCTTTTGGCCCTGGGGATGGCAGTCCCAGGTGTCTGGCTGTCCATGGTGGGTTAGCAGTCGATCTTGGCCCTCCCTCACTGAGCCCTTCCCCACCCTGTTTGTATCACTGTGCCCGACCCCAGCATCATGGACCATTTCTCCACCAAAGGAAAAGCTCCTGGGAGTTTCCAGGACCATGACCCAGCACCCACCCAGGGTGGTGCGACTTGTTCTTGCACCTCCAGCATGCTCAGGACCACAGGGTGCTGTGCGCTGCTCAGATGCTGCCTGTAGCGCAGCAGAGGGATGGATGTGGAGCAGTTGGACTCAGTTGATCCTGGGTCCTCCATGCTCCTGTTTCCATGGCAGCTTGGCCTCTCATAGCTTTTGCCGCCCACTGAAAATGCCTGCTGAGGAGAGGAGAGTCTTCCTCCGCAATGGCTACTCGGCACCAGCTCCTTGGCATACTGGCTGTGTGTTCGGGTGCTTTTCCATGGGGCATTGCACAGAGAGGGTGGATGTTGGCTGCTTTGGGGACTGGCTGTACTGAGGGTGATGGACCTGGCACAGGATCGGTCCCTGCAGCACAGGGGTGCGTGCCCGTGAGCCAAGGTGAACATGCAGCCACTTCACCGCCTGACGAGCTCTTGCCTGAAGAGCTGAGCCCTTTTTCTCTCTCCCGTAGGTTTTTGGCAATATCAAACTAGATGAGGAAAGCCACATTAACCGGCACAACAACTTCCGCAGCTTCCTGGGCTCCCTCATGCTCCTCTTCAGGTAAGCAACCATGGAAAACTCCTTGGGCAGCCTTTTTTGGGTGCAGGCAGGCCAGGAGCTGGGCTGGTCAGGTTCTCACTGCAGGCTGTTTGGTGGAGGTCAGCTTTTGGTGCTAGAGACCAGCTGGGCAAACACATGGCTGCAGGTGCTCAGAAACCCCCTTTTTTCACCACTCTACCCCAAAAAGGATGTTTGTCTCCCAGCTTTTGGGACCAGCTGGGTGGCAGGAGTTGGCCCCATGTGTCAGGAGCTACACTCTGGAATGGCTGCACTTGTGTGGGTCAAACTCAGTTGCTGCTGACCCAGTCCCTCGCTTCTCTGCGTGCCGGAGATGTGCTTAATTTGTGGGGGGGTTGCACATTTTCTGGTGAGGTCTCTCCTGGGGGCATCCTGCCCTACCTCCATCCTGTGCCAGCACAAGCTGCTGAGCACAGCTGTGTTTGGGCACAGGAGTGCCACGGGAGAAGCATGGCAGGAGATCATGCTGTCCTGCCTGGAGGGCAAAGGCTGCGAGCCAGACACGACGGCGACGTCTGGGCAGAACGAGAACGAGCGCTGCGGCACTGACCTGGCCTACGTTTACTTTGTCTCCTTCATCTTCTTCTGCTCTTTCCTGGTGAGTTCCTCCCCTCAAGAGCCCTGGGGGTCCTCCTCATCAGCCCCCCAACCTGCACCCCAGCCATAGGGTCATCTTCCATCATCTTCCCATGATTACTTTTCCTTCTCTCTCCCTTCCCTTCTCTGCTCTCTCTCCCCCCATTTTCCTTTCTCTCTTCCTTTTTCCCTTTCACTTAGATGCTCAACCTGTTTGTGGCAGTCATCATGGACAATTTTGAATACTTGACTCGGGATTCCTCCATCCTGGGACCTCACCATCTAGATGAGTTTGTCCGGATCTGGGCAGAGTATGACAGAGCAGCGTGGTATGTAGCCAGCTCCTTCTCTCCTGAGCAACCTCTCAGAACTGGTTTTAGATGGGCATCTCTGTGTTCGACTGTTGGAAACCAGCTGCGATGCCTGGGACGGAAGGGCTGCTCTTGACCACAGTTGTTACAAGGGCAGCAGCCTGTTCCTACAGTGCCTGGTGGCACAGGCGTCTTGGGTGATGTTTACGGTTTGCCATGGTGTTTATCCTGAGCACCGGAGGTTCCTGCTCTTCCTCTCCTCCCCAACCAGTGGGTAGGTCCTTCTCAGCCTCCTTCCCTGTCTGCGTGCACCAGCTGGGTGCCTCTGCCCTGAGACCGGATCCATTGCCTGGTCCCCAGCACCCACAGCTCCCTGCCAGAGCAGGGCTGATTATGGCTTGTTCCCAGCCATGGGGAGAGATGCTGGGGGTCTGCTGGGCTCCTGCCAAGTCACCTATGGAGGACATTGTTTGGAGTGTGTTTGGGTTTGGGGAATTGTGTTCCTGTGCTGGCCAGCCTGCTCACCCCTTTAGACACAGGAGGACTTTATTTCCTGCACTCATGCCTTTGTTGATGAGACCTCAGCAAACAGGGCTGCCATGTGCAGGCAGCAGCCTGTTCCCGTAAATGGGACGCGTTCACAGTGGCCATACATACCCTGGGTGGCTGTGCTTTGGCTCTGCTGCCGCTGCTGCTGCAGAGGACTTGCTCTCCACTGCTCCTCCCAGGATAGTCTGGAGCATCCCTAGGGCAGTATGGAGCCCTCAGCAGCTCTGGGAGAATGTTTGCCATCCACTCAGCCGTGGCACATTGAGGGTGTCTTGTGTGGCCCCTTCCTCCCTCCCCCAGCCCAGCGACAGCCTCTTTGGAGCCATGACCCACCACTGCTGTGCCAAGGAGCGTGGGTGATCTTAGCTCAAGAACCCTTGGCAGCCACACGTGCTCCCTTTGGAGACTCTTCGCTTCCACTGCTGATGTTCTGCCCCTCGAGAGACCAGCTCCAGCCAAGATATTTTTTTATTCGTAGTATCATCAGCTCCTGGTGTAGTTTCCTCTACCTCTGTCCAAGCCATGCAGCTGAGTGCTGGCCAGATTCCCTCCCATGTGGCCTCATCTAGCACTCTTGCTGCTGTGCAAGGTCCCTGTGGGCAGGTGGGTTTGCTTGTTAGTGGGTGACTGTGCCTTGTGCAAGGGGGAGAGGTCAGTACGGGTAAGTAGATATCCCGATGAACAACTAGAGAGGTAAGAGGAGGTGAGAGCAGTGAAACATCCAGCTGCTCAGTGTGGGGCATCTCACCCATGGCTTTTGGGAAGGATTTCTTCACACAAAGCACTTCATTCACACTCACCCCCCAGTGTTGGTGGCCTAGGTCTCCAGGACAGTCACTATAAAAGCATGCCTGAGCTGTCCTATCGATGCCATGCACACCTCTGATTTCTGAGCAAGCCATGCTCTTTTGTCATGATATGTATCCAGTGGTTAGGGGATGTGCACAGGAGCCAGTGGTGCTGGGCCTGTGGGGGCAGCCCTGGCCCCCATTACTGTGTGAGGAATCGGTGAGTACATCCAAATGGGTCCCATTACCTGAGTGGGGCAGCAGTTCTGCATCCTGACACCTCGACCATCACATGAAAGTCTTGCAAGAAGACTGCCCAACACCAGAGGGGCTCAGGGATGGGTTTTGCCCAGATGTTTGGGTCAGCTCTGGCCAGCAATGGAGAGGTGATGGGAGAAGAGCAAGGAGAAACCAGAGGCAAAGGCACTGGGTAGGACGGTAACACTGTTCTTTGCCTCCTCGTGTGGTTTCCCTCCAAGCTTGTCTAAGGATGCCCAGGAGGCTGCAGCACACTGCACCTCAGCACTTCCACCCCACATGGTCCAGCTTCCCAAAGGGCTCTGGTCTGGAGCAGAATAAGGAGCTCAGCATCTGACGGCCCCTGCTCCCTCTCCTGCCAGCTCTTCACCTTGACTGCTCCATTATTTCAGCTGGTGCAGGAGCGATACGGGCCGTATCCTGCAATGACTGCACCCAGGTCTGGGGAGATGTGCTTTTGTGGGTGAGAAGGGGTGCGTATATGGGAGGCTTTGCTTCTAATAATGTGTACCCTTGGCAGAGCGTGGTCTGGTGGTCAGAGCACAGGACTGGACCACAAGAGACCTAGGTGCTAGTGCCACAGCCACCGGTCACCAGCTGGTCACATTATCTCTCCCCATCTCATGTTCCCCAGATATTGGAGATACAAGTGACTCAGCTGACGACCTCCCTGGGATTTTGCGAGGACCAGAGAACTGGCCGTGTGAGGGCAGGCTCTCTGGTGGTGTGATGGGACACAACTCCACCAAAAGGGCTCATGGTAGCTAGAAACCAACCAAACTGCAGGCTCACCCCATCTAAAGTCCCAGCCCTCTCCCACCAGGCGTAGGCAGCCAGGGGCATGATGAGGAAGGGTGATGGGGTGGTGTTCACCACCAAAACTGTCCTTCTCCAGGGTCAAGATGGGTCAGTGTGAGAAGGTATGAACTGACTCATGGTGGAGAAGGTAGCAGCTGATGCTCACAGCTTTCGCCTCTCTGGGTCTGGCAGAGCCAGAAGGAGAAGAGCAGTGTGCTCCCAGGGGTCTTGCCCCACAGATGGCCCCAGCATCTGCTGGTTAAGCTCTCCATCTTCCTCTCCACCCTCTCAGTGTCCTATTAACCCACCTGTGCTTCCTTTGCAGCGGCAGGATCTCGTATAAGGATATGTACAAATTAGTACGGGTGATCTCGCCTCCTCTGGGCCTAGGAGAGAACTGCCCCTACAGGGTGGCGTGCAAGGTTTGCCTCCCAGTCCTCCGCCACAACCTGGCCACGGGACGCACCATCCACCCCTCCTTCCTCCCTGCTCCACCGCCACCGCACCTCCCGAGGGAACCCTAACGTTGCTTTCCTTCGAGTTTAAAGAGGTCCGCGGCCTCCCAGAGCCAGCAGCTGTCCCCCTCGAGGGGAGGCATGAGTGGGGCCAGGGGGGGCTCAGAGCCTTCCGGGGTGGGTTTCGACAATTTGTATCCCCCAGCCAGCCCCCCGCCCCAGCTCCATCGGCACAGTGAGCCCCTGAAGGGTGCCAGGCCAAATGCCATCATCCCTGCTTGGCTTCTCAAAATGATCTCAAGTGGGAGTAGGAGTTTTCTGGGGGGCTTAGGTGTGCATTACTCCTGGGGAGGGAAGGAGGGAGCAAAGGCAGGAAGATGTTGGGGACTTTGCTGTTGTTTTGGAGAATGAAGACTGGGGGGAGGATGGGGAGGCCAGGGTGACCTCTCTCCCTGGGGGACACCATGCTGTGCCCAACAGACTCTTCCCCAATTGTGGCCCTTGTAGGACACACAACCACGTCTCCGGGGAGGAGGACTCTTGCTAGTCTTGCCCTTAGCTTGCCAGACCTGCTTGGGAGGTGGTGGGACCTCGACATATCTCTGGAGCTCAACAGCTCCTCTTCCTCTGCTTGAGCCAAGCTCCCAGCTGTTGGCCATGAGTCCACAGCAGCAATTTGGCCTCCTTGTGTCTCTCTGACTTGCAAGGGATTTTTAAATTTTATTTTGGAGTGACAGTTGAGCAAAATCCTGCATCTGCCACCTTCTCCAAAGTGCCACGGTGTCTATGTCTGTGTCCGTGGTATGAGAGTATGAACTGCAGAGCTTGCTCTTACCTCTGCATCCCTCGCAGCATCTGAGGAGATGTACGAAGGAAGCTCAGATGCCACTGACCCTTGATCTTGGCTCTGAAGAGGAAGCAGGATCCTTGGTGTGGCGTGGTATTAGCCACCACGTCCTTCTCACCGCAATAGAAATGCTTCTTCCAGCCAGCATCCCTGGAGCGGGCCTGTCACCCTTCACAGCTGGTCGTGGGGATGATGCACACATTTGAAATCTTGAAGTAGACCACCAGAAGTAAAGCAGAGCAAGCAAGACAAGGTCTGGATGCTTGGTCATCTCATTTATGAAGAGGAATTTAGGGACAGGAGATTTCTTGCAAGAATCTCAAGTGGCTCGTGTTTAAGGAGAGGCTCCTTGCAGTCTTTCTGCTCTTCTCTTTTACATCATTGGCAAAGGATGGCAGCTTTGCTGAGGACACTTGCTCAGGTCCCTGCAGACAGAAGACACCTTCAGGAGGAATTTCTAGTCTTTCTCGATTGACATCAGGGTTTTACTGCAAACACTGCTCTCCTAAGGTGGATCACCTGGTGCTCAGAAGGGTACCTGTAATGCTTCCTGGGAAGAGGGAGCTCTGCAGAAGTCTGGGCTTTCTGCTGACTCTGTGGGATGGACAGAGCGGTGAAGCTGGGTAAACTCAGGGGGGAGGTGGAAGCAGAAAGAGTGAGACAAGCTTCTGCTGTCACGTGAGGGAGACCATCCCCATCTCTTCCTTGTGTTACCTCGGTCTCCTCCTCCCTGTGCATGGGGTATTTCAAGCACATGAGATTTTTCAGGGATTTCTACTGCCCTGGAACAATTCCCAAAAGGCAACTGATGAAAAAAGATAACCCATGTGGTTCTTGCATCTTGCCACCATGGTCGAGATCCCAAAACGCCAACTTGTTCACCTTTCAGTTTGGTGAGACTGCCCTGCACATCACAGTGTACAGGTTCACCTTCCTGGAGCCCACAGCCCTATCCTGCCAGGCAATGCAACAACGATGACTTGCAGAAACAAACACCAACGTGTTTATGGAGTGGTAGACAGCCTGCTCTGGAAGACATGGTGCTTGGGCAAGTTCAGCATGCAGCACAGTGGTGCAGCATGCTATGGAAGCATACAGAATCTTGCTAGGCCATCCACAGGTGGGCTAACAAAGGGGCATTGATGCAGGAAGACTTCCTGTGGAAGTCCAGCAAACTCTGTTCTTATGCTGGGGAGAGCAGGTCTTGTAACTGTATCTTGCTGGGACTGTATCGTGGCAGCCTGCTCCATTCCTTGGGTCTGTCTCTGACTTTCTTTACCCCCTCGGCTTCTAGCAGTTGTGCAAAAGGGAGCCAAGGCATCAATTTTGCCCTGTAAAAGTAGTCTTTGAGATGGTCATAGGTCAGGTGAATGCTCCACAGGCTTTGATGTTCCTGTGGACATCACCTGTTCCTGAATCTTCTCTCACGTCACTTGCTATTCTGTTGCTCTATTCCTAAAAGCCTTGTATGGAACAGTACTTATTTCCTAACCACAGGACAGATGTCCCCCAGATTTACTTTTCAGAGTACCAAGACTAAGCCATTCATGTCTGGTGGTTTTACAGGCCACCCTTTGCTACAACCACAGGTCACATCTCTGTCCAGAAACAGGACAGATTGTCAGGTCTCTCATCGAGGATGCACCCGTGCTTGGACCAGCTCTTGGAGCCATCCTGTTCAGATGGATGTCATTCAACGTGCCTGCCTGTGCTTCAGTCCGTGGGGATGTGGTTTCTGGGTGCTGCTGTGCTGCTCAAAACACTTTAAGATCTCTGCTCTGAGAAGCAGCAAAGTGTGCAGCCTGTCTGTGAGAACAACACAGTTCTTATGCAGTCCTTCTTGGCTACTGATGCAAACTCTTCTTTTTATGGGCAACCATTCGTCCTTCATTGTGTGGAGAATCTCAGTATGAAAGACAGTGTCTGATGTGTGCTAGGTGCACTAAAATCCCACCTTCTATGAAGAGTGGGTAGAAGCTCACTGTCTTGCTTCTTTTTTGCACAAAGTTCGTGCATGAAAATCTTGAAGTCATCTTCTGCCCTTCAGACACCTTGAGTCGGTGCACATCCAGCTCTGCCAAGGCGCTGCTTATGGACTCCTGGACCTGGATACTTCTTCTTGATCATCCCACTTAATGTTATCCAGTGTTGTTATCAATACTCTTTCCAGCTCATTTAGGTATGTCAGGTCTCAAAGGGGATGGCTTGCCCAGCCTGTTCTGTGCCTGCACCCCAAACAGCTCCTGCTGTGGGTTGTTACCATCTCTCGTTCACATCCGAAATGTCAGGACTTATCTTGGTGGGGGCCTCTTTGGCCAGGGGTCTGCTTCCAAACCAGTGGTACACCCTGAGGAGAGGAGATATCTTCTCCCTTTTCCATGCTGCTCTGAGCACATGGGTACTACCCCCACCTTGGCCAAGAGGCCAAGATCCTGTGGGGAGTGCTTAATTTTTTGGCAGTGCCCTCTTTCCCAGGCCACCCTGGCTGAGTTGGATTCCTCTCCATCAGCATTGTCCTGGCCCAGCTTTAAGAGTATATGCCTTTGCTGTTGCAAGGTTGCCCTTGCCCATTAACCATCCTGAATATTGCAGCGCAGGACAGAAGCCTGGCACGAAGGGGAAGAAGAGGTGGCTGAGCCCAGGATCCCTGGGAGATGTACTTGAGCAGCCTCCTGGATGCACAGAGAGAGGGAGACACAGCCCAAATATCTCAGCCTGGCAGAGGGCTCAAGGCGTCATTGGGTGGCCCATTTTTGGTAGCGTTCCTCACTGCAGCACTCCTAGGCAGGTTCTTACAGAGCAGAGGAGCGCAAGGTGGGGGGCCATCCTAGCTGCCTCCCTTGGGAAACCCAAATGAACCCCAATGTTGGAAGGCCCAAACAGCTGCCTCTGCTGAGACTCTTTAAACTCCAACCTGGTGGAACTTGCAGCCGCATGTGGGAGAGAGCCAGGGCGGGAGCATGGCATGTACAACTTTTCCTCCTGGTTTTGTTTTTTCAGCCAATTCAGCATGCCTTTTGCACTGGTGCATGGTGGGAAAGTGGTCCATCCGCAGAGCCAGATGGAAGCAACTGGGCATCTTCCTTTGACAAGTGACCCTGGCCCACTGCCTTCTATGCAAGATGCTGCCTCCCAATTGCATAGACCTTATGAGCTGGGGATACACAGCCTTCCGGCTATGGGTTAGGTGGCAATGCAAAGAAATACCCAGGCCCCCCCCGGGAGGGAAGATGCTACGGAGGCCACAGAGCACTGTGGTGCAAACCACCATTATCTCAAGTAACCCATGGCTTGAGTGCCGTGTATCTGATTTATACCACTCACACACAGCCCTGGAACCTGTGGGACAAGTTGGGGGCTGCTGGAGGGCTTTAGGAAAGGGGTTGAAACCAGAGAAGGACTCCGAGACTGCTAGCGAGACAGGCGCTTGAGGCCAGCAGCAGAGAGGGGTGAGTTGCTTTCTGCCAGCATTCCTGGGTCTGTGTGAGCAGTGCTATAAATCCACATCAGGACAGTCTCTCATGTATGATTTGCCTTGATTAACGGGTTTCCTGTTCTTTTCCTGTTTGTCCGTTTGTTTTTTTCTCTCCTGTTTTCCTGTACTTTTTTTGTTTGTACGTGTTTCTGCTCTCTGGGAATGCCTCCTCTCTCTCTGCATCTCCCTCCCTCCCCTTCCCCCTTCATGAGCAGTGGCCGAATCCATTACACTGAGATGTATGAAATGCTGACTCTTATGTCACCACCGCTAGGCCTCGGCAAGAGATGTCCTTCCAAAGTGGCCTATAAGGTAGATCAACCCTTCCTTCTATGGGGGCTAGAGCTGATCAGGAGCCGGGGGTCAAGGGAGCTGTGGGAGGTGGGGCTGGAGGGAGCTGGGGAAGCACTGGGGGCATCCGATGTGTTTAGCTTGCTCCTGGGGAGCCTGGTGTGCTCAGAAGAGTCCTGGCCATACTGGCTGGTCTCTACTGCCCAAGCATGTGATGCTGCTGTGATCGCTCACAAGCCCAGGGAGCTCTGGGGTGGAAGACCCCAGTGGAAGAGGAGAGACAGGATCAGCAACAGCGTGGAAGTGGGAGGGTTGCAGAAGATGAGGTGAAGATCAGCCCCACAGCACAGTTAGGAGAGTGAGATGTCCTCAGGAGCTCCTTGACCCAAGCTCATCCCCTGGCCTTGGAACCATCCTTATCCTGGCCAGCGCAGAAACAGGGCTAAAGCCCCTGGGGATGGGAAGCAGGTGGGCAGCAAGGACATATCCTATAGAGGCAGCTCTGCAGTGTGTGAGGAGCTGGGTGCATCGGCACGAGCTATCCCAAGGATGACTTGTGCAAGGCAAAGCCAGGTACCTTCAAAAGGTGTCTCTGAGTTTTACCCATTTGTTCCTCCTGGGGCGGTGGCAGGCAGTCAGTTCACTGTGCATCCTCCCGGCTGCACAGGCATGGTGCAGGAGCATGGAAAGCCCTGAAGGTCTTAGGGTGGGAGCTGAGTGGCTTTGCTGAGGGCAGCAGCTGCTAGGACAAGACTTGGAGCTACAGAGCAATGTGCTGCCCAGGTCTGGAGCAAAATGAAGCTTTTCTTGGCCACAGGCTGCTGCCTGCAGCCCTTTCAGCAGCATTCAGGGCTAGTGAAAGGGGGGGGGATTTCTGCGCACTTGCAAACGCCCTGCCACCCTCTTTAGCTTTCATGTGTTTGTTCACGCACGCATACATCCACCATCACACTTTTCCAGGAGAAAAAGGAAGGCTTGAGGGCAGGGAAAGGACATGAGAAGCCGGGTATGGAATGGGCAGGGAAGGGATGATCCAAGGTATTCACAAAGCAAAATATACTCTCGGGAAAGTGGATCTGGTCACTTCCGTTTGCACCCCGCCTGCCCAGGGTGGGGAAGGAGCATGGCGTGTCTAACCTGCCTTGATTGCCCTTCTCTCTTTCCTTCTGCACTTTTTCTACCCCTCCTTCCCTTCCCCACCCTTGGATAATTTGGACCCTGTGCATGTGCTGGCAAACTTCATCTCTGAAAGACGCAAAAAGGGAGCGCCAGGATGTAGCATGCTAGAGGAATCCAGCCAATCTGAAGTCCCTGAAGGTTAGGGACCCTCCTCTCCCCTGCCCCAGGTGGGAAGGGTTGAGAGCCAGAAAGCCAAACCACCCAGGAACAGAAACCTGAGCCCCCTTCTCCCCTTCCCGAGCATTCCCCACGCCCACATCCCTGACCGATCAGGCGTGTCTTCCAAAAGTGCCGGGAGGTGCCGTGACAGCCCCAGTGCCATGGGGAGAGGGGCTCAGGGGCCGTTCCTGGGGCGCAGGAGGAGCCCTGGAAGGCAGTGAGCCGGTGTCCTGGGGTGGAAGGAGCCGGGGGGGGTGGTGGGGTGATCCTTGCCCTTCTTTTTTGGCTGTGCTGTTTTGACACTCTTTGTTGCTTTTTATTTTTTAATTTTTTCCCCTTTTGTTTAATGTTTAATTTCTTTTCCTCCAGCCTGGTCGATGTGTTTTTCGATATTGTTTTCCGTCCGCTGTTTTCTTCTCTCTCTTGCGCAGAGACTGGTGCTGATGAATATGCCCGTGGCCGAGGACATGACGGTCCATTTTACCTCCACCTTGATGGCACTGATACGCACGGCCTTGGACATCAAAATTGCCAAAGGTAAGGTCAGTGGAGTAGGGAGGGGACAGAGCCAGGAGGGTTTCAGAGTGACCAGCACTCATTCTTTGGGCGCGCTGAGGACATCACAGCCAAACTGGGGTTGGCCGCTCAGAGCTTGGCACGTAGGTGAAAGTGATTACCCTGAACGGGCAAATTTCTGCCACTCTCTATAAAAAAATCTATTTCTTTAGGAAAGAGGTGGCCAGTTTTCCACTAGAAGCTGCTTCTAGAGAGTGGAAACAGCTTGATATCCGCTGTGTAAAGGGAGAGAGAGAGAATTCCCCTTCCTACCCATGTACAAAACCAAACCAAGAAGGGAAAAGATCTCATGTACTAGGCTTCCTAAGGCTGGGGAACAGAAATGTCTCTGTCAGGGAAGAGAAAATGTTCAGAGCAAGAAAACCTGCTTTTTTTGTTGTTGCTGGAAACACTCTGATTCATCAGATCAACAGCATTCTGCAGAAACGTGCCATTTTCAATAAAATGTCCCCTGGGAACAGCTCAGCTGTTGGAAGAAAACCCAACCCAGGGCAAGCTGCTCAGACAGCTCCTTGGGTTCAAGCCTGTCTAGGTAAAGCAGAGATTTGAACCTGGGTCTCCTACAGCTCAGCAGAGTTGCCCCAGGCTCAGGTGTCTCCGGTTGGTGAGTGTTGACAGCTTCCATTGAGCCTGGGTCTTCCTAAGCTCAGCAAACCTCTTCACCACTGGCCAGAGTGCTCTGCTCTCCTTGCACAGAATCACCGAGTATTTAAGGATATCAACCAAGTGGAGCTGCTCTTTCACCAGCACATGATCTGCTCACCAGAAAAGAGAAAGTGGGGCAGCAGCAGGTGTGTGTGGGCTGGAGTAGGATTGGAGCTGCAGAGACGGACCCAAGATGAGCTTGAAGATGGCAGCTTTGAGTGGGAGGGCAGGGGATGGGGAGATGGAGGCACATATGGAAGGGATGGTAGGAAAGTTTCCCTGTGAGAGCAGGAGACCAGGCTCACTGATGTAAGATGGCCCTTCCAGCCAGAGAGAGATGGTTGCTGCTTGTGAACCTCACTTTAGGATGGGAAAGGGGTATTTTTAGTTGGACTCTGGTGCCAGGTCTTGATGTATGAGGGCCATTTCTCACCCCTCGACCTCCCTGTTCAAGGTGGTGCAGATTGGCAGCAGTTAGACTCCGAGCTTCAAAAGGAGATCCTGACCATTTGGCCTCACCTGTCCCAGAAGATGCTTGACCTGTTGGTACCCATGCCAAAAAGTGAGTCTCTTTGCGGGCTATCATTGCTGCCAAGTTTCCATCATACCAGCAGCAGCTTCTTCCCAAATGGAGGTGGGGACAGGTCAGACTCATTCCCTGCTGGGGGTGAAGTGGGAAAAGGGTTTGTGCTGCTACAGGCTGACTTCTGCCTTGCTCTGCCTGGCTGCTTGGAAACGCTCTTGGAAAATGGCCAGTTTGCAGTGATCTACTCCTGCCAAATCCAGAGTCTCCTGTAAATCATCTCTGGAGCATGTAAGGGCAGGAGGCTGAGCATCGCTTGCTCCGTTACATATGGTGATGTGATGAAGATGTGTGTCTTGGTGGTTTATAACGATGCTTTCAAGCCATCTCCATCTGTTTTATCTCCACGTGGAGTGTCTGGGCGTTCATCTCTCTTTCGGAGCAGTGAGCAGATATTGAGGGTCACCAGGGTATCCTACAGCAGGGCTCTTCCTGAGATCTGTGCTGGTGCCTTCAGACCTGCTGTTTCTGCTAAGACAAAAGTGTCCCCCACCTTCCTTCCCCTCTTATGCTCTCAGACTCTGACCTGACTGTTGGCAAAATATATGCAGCCATGATGATCATGGATTACTACAAGCAGAGCAAAGCAAAGAAGCAGAGGCAGCAGCTGGAGGAGCAGGTGAGGCTCAACGAGGGCATGCGGTGGGCAGGACAGGGATGTTCAGAGCACCCTCACTGCTTCCTACCATGTCCCAACCAAACACGCAGCCAGTTGCATGGGATGCAGCTGAGGGATGAGGATGGTGGTACAGGTTGGGCTTTGGTGACTACAAGGCACACATATGTGCATCCTCAGTTCCTAACAGTGAACATGAGCATGCTGTCACCTTCCCAAGTGGTGGGGACTTGGTTGGTGAAGCACTGGATGTTCATCTGCATTTCCTACAGGCTCAGCTTCTTCCTTTCCTCAATACAGAAAAATGCCCCCATGTTCCAGCGCATGGAGCCGTCCTCCTTGCCACAGGAAATCATCTCAAACGCGAAGGCTCTGCCTTACCTCCAGCAAGACACACTCTCGGGTCTGTGAGTATTGTCCTGAGAAGAAGGGAGGTACTTTTCTGTTCCTGCAGCCCTTGTTTTGTCTTCTGGAGCTGGCACTGGGATGCAAAGAGTGTTAAATATCTGCCAAGAGCAGGGGAAACTCAGTCCAGGGCAGAAAGCTCCCGGCACAGAGCTTTTGCAGGATCCCAGGTAGCTAGTGTGCGTCAGCATCACCAACAGCAGTGAAGGTGGCCAAGGGGGATTTCCAGGTGTCTGCATGGATGCTTTTCTTGCAGGACCATCCTGGCACAAAGTTCAAATTCTCACCTAGGAGGGTCTGGGAGGGACCTGAACCTCGAGAGCAGTTGAGCAGTGGGTCCCTGAGTGGTGCAGGGTCAGTGGGGGATCCCAGCACCCTGGCTGGTGGGAATGAGATGGTGGGAGTTACTGGCACTGTGCTGTCATGGGACCTGGGTCACTGGTGTCCTCACCTGCCTGGGCACCGCTTCAGCTCTCCAATGAACATGCTGTTTGTCATAGGGATCTCAACAGCCTGGGGGCAAGCACAGGGTTTCCCCAGTCTGAGCCACTGGAGATGCAATGTCTAGCAATGGCAGGACCCATCTTGTGGCCTCCCTGAAGCTGGACTGTCTTTGCAGGAGCGGCCGAAGTGGGTTCCCCTCGCTGAGCCCTCTCTCGCCACAGGAGATCTTCCAGCTGGCGTGCATGGATCCGGCCCACGGGCAGTTCCAGGAGCACCAGTCTCTGGTAAAGTCACACACTGCCTGGCGGGTGCTCTCCTGCAAGTCCCAGGGAGGATGTGGTGGGCATGGGGAGGTGTGGGGCTGCCAGCATGATGGTGAGATGCTGCTCCCTGCCCCCATGGCAGCAAGCACAGTGAAGGGGTAGCAGCTGCTGGGTCATGTGTGGATCTGAAGCAGGGGTTAAATGTCCCTGGCTGTCCTCCAGTTGGGGCTGTGGCCCCTCACCACTCTCTGGACACTGGCACTGGCGACACAGCCACCCCTGGACCAGCCCTGGCCAGTGGGGCCCGGCAGCGGCAAATGTTTTTGGGGCAAGAGCTGTGACCAGGGTCTGATGTCCTGCTGTAAAATATCCTTCTCTTCACAGGCTGCTCTATTTTCCACTGAGCCTCATTTCAGTGGGTTACCCCGTGCTGAGTAATGGTATCTGATGTTTTCGGATTCATGTTCATTTTGTTGTCAGTGCTGGTGTCCCCAATCTCAAACCGAGCTGTCAAACTGTCTCCAATGGGAGCACACCCCTCCGGCCTCACACACATGCCGGCCGGCAGCAGCAGTGTCTGTCTGTGTGTGTGTATATATATATATATACATATCTATATATATCTCGCCGTGTCTGTGTGTGTGCATTCGTGCACCACCCCGACGCTTGTTGGATGCAGTGTTGTGCCACTGTGCATCTCCAGCCCGGTCCGTGTCCCTGGGGTCTGTAGCACTCTGTGTGAGCTGTGTACTGTGCAGGCAGGCATCCCCTGCCCCGGCCAACCTGATGCCACTGTCCTCCCAGCGGGGAGATGGCAGATGAGACTCCCTACCCCCCATAAAGTCACCTTCTGGCAGATCTCCAGGGTCACTCCCTGCCCATCTCCTTGACACCAAGTCCTGTACAAGAGACTCCCCTAAACTGGGAATTAACCGAAGCACAAAGGTGCCACAGGTAGCATGCTTTGTTTTAACGGGGATGTGGCCAGAAAGCCTTTAAAGCAGGATCAGAGAGAAAATCCCGTGTTTGTCCCCTTCTGGTGAAAGGAGGAGTTAAAGCCCAGGCAGCCAGGGTGTCACCAGGTCCAGGCAGGGTTTCCACTGTCACTGAAGATGAATTTGCCATCAGGCAAGCCTGAAGCATCACATCTAGGCTCATCTGCAGTGGGTTGTGGATCAGAAATTATTTTTCAGTGGCAACGTGTTAGATGATATGTCTTAGACTCCCTTTTTGGCCCACTTAAATTCTGCCCCCGGTTGAGCAAGCAGGGCTGTCCCCTGCAAATGGGGCAGAAGCAGCGCGCTATCCTGCTCCAACCGCATCCCAAGAGCTTGGCTGTGTGTTTATTTCCAGGAGCCAGAGGTTAGGGAGTTTCAAAGAGTGCAGCCCTCTAACCGTGGCAGCTACCTTCCTGTGGACACTCAGGACCACGCTGTCTCTGGGAGGGCCTCCTCCATGCCTCGTCTCACTGTGGATCCCCAGGTAAAACCAAGCAAAGCCCCCACGGGTGCCGGGTCCAAGCAAAGCCAACGAGGTAACGCTGGGGCTTCTCTCCGTGCTCAGCAACTCCCACAAGCCCCAAGGCTTCCCAAGCGCCCCAGTATCAGAGCATATCCCCGCATCTTTGGGGTACTGCACAAGTAGGAGAGCTGCTGGGGGGACGCCGGCAGCAGAGAGCAGCCAGGGGAATCAATCTCCTGGCTCATGTGGGAGGTCCACGGTGGAGCAGGGCCACTCTGGGAGGTTGCGAGTGTCCTTCCCATAGTGGGACACTCCTCCTTTCCTCGAGCCGTGGGTGCTGGCGGAGGTTCAAGGAATCCCAGCCTGGCTGTCAGATTTTTCATTCCTTTTCCATTGTCCCGCAATGCACACACTTTTCCGTCTGTCTAGGGAAACCCAGGCCACATCTCACCTTCTCGTTTGTCTGCCCAGTTTCTCTGTTGTTCTGTCTTGTACTCAGCCTGCACCGAGACACAGATGCTCTTATGGGGTTTAGTTTTGGTGTGAAGTCTCTGGGTCTGCTTTCTTACAGAGGTCCTGGTGTCAGTGCTGGTGTGACATGTCATGGCACTTCGGTGGGTGCGAAGAGGAAGGGAGGCTTTGCCTTGTGGGCTTTATTGACCATTTGGGAGCAGGGGAGATGATCAGAAGGAGGGGATGGGGGCAGAAAGGGTACAGCGCAAGAAGAGAAGACAGGGAGACTGGCCCAAGACTGCAGAGGCAAAAAGCTGCTAGAATAAAGCAAAGGAAGATATAGAAGGAGATGATGTTTTCCACAAAACATGTGAGAACACAAGCTAGAAGGAGGGGATAAGGTAGAAAGGAGAAGCATGGAAAGGAGAAAGCAAAGGAGAGCGATGGTAAAACAACAGCATGAGTGGAGAGAAATGGAATGAGTGCAGGAGAAGGGGATGTGGGAATAAAGGAGGACCAAAGAGAACCAGTGCTGCCACTGAAAAAGTGTCAGCAGCCAGGAAAATAACCACCAAGCGAGGGGCACTGGAGGATTCCCCCTCTCTCAATGATTTCTTGTTCGATGTCTCTGTTTGCTCCGTGCAGTCTTGTTTCCAAGGTGGGGAGGGATGCTGAGACAACCTGGGGGGCAATGGCCTGGTACCCGCTGTGTCCCCACGCCTGGGGCAGGACACTGCTGCTCTTCCCCCAACACACAGCGCCTTGGCTTGAATCACAGTCACCGGCTTTGCTTGCTGAGCACAGTTCCCAGCCAGCTGGGCCAGGGGAGCTCACAAACACAAAAGCTAAACCCCACTCTCTTCCAACCCCAGATTTGTGCAGAGATTGTCTCGGGGGTCTGTGCTCAGGCTGGCTGCACCCCCACCCTGAATGTCCCCATCCCGGAGGCTGGTGTGCCAGTGATGGCGGGTGAACTGGTAAATACTTGACCACCGGTCCGCCCCAGCCCTGCCCGGCGCTAACCCCCTCCCCGGCTGGCCGGGGTTGCTTGCAGGTGGTGACAGACACCAGCTCGATGCGGCGATCGTTTTCCACTATCCGGGACAAGCGCACCAACAGCTCCTGGTTGGACGAGTTCTCCATGGAGCGCAGCAGTGACAATACCTACAAGTCCCGCCGGCGCAGCTACCACTCCTCACTCCAGCTCTCTGCCCGGCGTCTCAATGCCGACTCAGGTGAGGAAGGGCGAGCGACTCCATCCCACACCAATGCCAAAAAAAAACAACCCCAACTGAGCATCCCCCATTCCTGGGGAGAGGATGGTGGGGACTGACAGGGATGTCCTGCAGGCCACCGGTCCGACGGGCATCGCTCGGGCGGCAGGGAGCGGGGACGATCCAAAGAGCGCAAGCACTTGCTGTCCCCCGATATCTCCCGCTGCAACTCTGAGGAGAGGAGTCCCCAGGCACACGACGAGTCACCAGAGCGGCGGCGCGAGTCCCGGTCACCCAGCGAGGGCAGGTCACAGACACCCAACAGGCAGGTGGGTGACAAAACCCCTTCCTAAGCAAAAAGAGAGGTATAGAAAAAGCTCTTTGCCAAAACCAGGAAGATAAGCCCCACCTCTGGGAGCTCTGTACCACCTCTCTTCGCTACGGTGTCTCTGAGTCCCCTGTGAGCTGAGCAGGTTGGGGCTATCAGGCTCTCTGCAGAGCATTTGGGTAGAGGGGTGCATCTCCACACTGATCCTCTCGCCACTGTGGCATCCACTCCCTGCCAAGTTTGAGGTGTCCCAGCTACACTGGAGATGCCAGTGCTTGAGAATGCTTGAAGCCCACAGAGATGCTGCCTGTACAGACCAGCAGCTGGTGAGCTGTTAGGTCTTCCTGCAGTGCATTTGCAGGTGCATTTTACTTTTGACCACCAAGGGCAGACATCATCATTGTCTGTGGAGCAGATGCTGAGGCAGGGATGTGGCAGATGAGGGTGCAGTGGGGCCCTATCCAAGCAGGAGGATGCTCCGGGGAGCCCAGGCTTGGGGGGGCGGTCGTGGGTGCATGGAACTGCCCATTGCACCTGTATTCCCCAGCATGTCCTGGTGTGTTGCAGGGAACGGGCTCCCTGAGCGAAAGCTCCATCCCCTCCATCTCGGACACCAGCACACCCCGGAGAGGCCGCCGCCAGCTCCCACCAGTGCCCCCCAAACCGCGTCCCCTCCTCTCCTATGCCTCCATGCTGCGGCACGCCGGAGACTCCTCGCCACCTGCCGAGGAGAGCGAGGGGGGCTCCCCGCTCCTCTCCTCCACCCTGGAGCCCAACGCTGCTGGCCTGACCGAGTCTTCCAGCTCCCCGGCGGGGAAGCAGAGCCGACAGTCCACGCCGCAACGGTACATCTCGGAGCCCTACCTGGCCCTGCACGACGACTCACATGCCTCAGACTGCGGTGAGGAGGAGACGCTCACCTTCGAGGCGG